CTTCCCTTTGAAGGCATAAGACAAACATTTGCTTTGCTTTCAGTGCAGTCGTTTTTTTTTGTTAATTTCTTTGCACAAAAAAAAAAAGGAAATTTGTGTTTTAATTTGTTTTGGTACATCATGCAGGAGCTCACCGGGATTTGAAGTTGTTTCTCTTATTCCACACTGGATTAAAGCTATTAATCAACAGATGATATTTTTCTATAGATAAGGCTTTGACGAAACCTGTTTAGGGAAAGACCACTGATTAAAACATGAAAAAAATTAAAGTGCGTTTGTACAATATCACTCAAGTCCTCCTGTTTTCCTCCCGAGCTCCTGTTTAGATTATAATTATGCTTCACTTAATCATACTCATTCCTGCAGGCCCTCCTCCCTCAGCTCGTGCAGATTCATGGAGCAGGAGCTGGTCAGTTCTCCTTCAGCGGTGCAGAATGCAAGCTCATCTGTTGCATTAAACAGACATGTTGAGCTATTCATAACCTAACACAATCAGCAAGGAATCATGAAACACCTGATGGGATTTCCAAAACCTCTACAAAGCACAGATGCATTTATTATACCCCCATTTGATTAATGTCTCCTTGCAAGCATTTTGCCAACGTAGCCACTACTAGTGCTTGTATTCATATCAACTATATCACACTAGTGTTACCTCTTACTAAGCTGTAAAGATATAAAACTTTACATTAATGATAAATTATCCCTCAGGAAAGGTTCCACAGAACTTGAATTAACAGCTTTTACACTGATGCGCTGTAGTGTCTATACCAGCCCAATCACTTCAATTATGTTTGACCTGCCCTCATCACTGCTGAATATCTATAGATGCTTTATTGACATTCAATATGCCCACAACCGATGATAAATTGATGATTAGTATGGTATCCCTTAAACCTGCATTCATACAACAATCTTAAGCACAGCCTCATTTTCTAAAGTACCTTTCAAGGTGAATCAGATCAAAGCTCTGCACAGAGAAACACTGAGAAATGAAGAGGATATTCAGATCTCTCTCATGCCGGACGTGAAAGCACCTTTCTGGATGCAGAATAACAAAAGCTGTTGTCAGCTACACAATTCTCTATAAAAAGCTCACTTCCTGAGACGCTCCTGGAATAAATTACACCAAACTGAACCCACGTTTAACAAGGTTAATTGTACAACAAGGGATTCAATGTAAAAAACTGAGATATAGGAAATGATTTTTTTTTTGCCTCTATGCATAAGGCCTTGAGATGAAAGCGCTGCACAAAGCAGGCAGAGAGGCAGATGTGCTGCACCCAGCTGCTGATTCACCGCTGCCCAGCTGCCTGGTCCCAGCCAGAACGCCAGGAAACGTCACTGTTGCTACCCACAGACCCCTGCCTCCTTCCACAGGTTACCATGGAGTTTCATTAGCATCTCCTGCCTCTGCAGGATATCCAAAGGGCAGGGAAAACCTGGAACCTGGAAATCAGGGGGTCTTGAAAGTTAAGTTAGCTGAAAGCCTTAAGAGTACCCCTAGCCCCCCCTGGCTCAAAACCATTGACTGGCAAGTCAAGAAACGGGACTTTTTGAAGACCATGCTGACAATCCCCCCCTCCCCAAGCTACTTCAAACCTTACGCCCAGCAGAGTGGAGAGATTTAACACACCTTTACCAATGCAGCTCTCTCCCAGCCACACAGGAGGAAGGTCTGAGAGGCGCTAAGCCCGATGTATAAAGGAAACTTCGGTGGCTACTGCTGCTGAAGCCACCGACAACCCAAGATAAAATGACACAAGGCCAAGTTCAGTATCGCACATTGCTTTGCTCATCAGTGGAGTTATGCCTCTGGCATGTAGATCACAATCGGGGCTTAAAATAAAAAAAAAAACTTCAGAATTTTGCAAAGACGTGTAATGAATGGAAGTTTACAAATATGGCTCAAGAATACATGATCATACCTGTTTTTAAGTCTTCTAATCTTCGTACTGTATGACTCACAAAACTTTTTCTGATCCAGGGCTTCGAAAAGTGACTGCTCCAGGACACAATTATGCTGCAGTCGAGCCCTTAAATATTTAAGGGATAATTAGCAGGATCAATGTAGTAATGAAGGAGGCGGTTGCCGTGTGTCACAATGAAGCCGATTAGACAGTGCCACAGTTGGAACAGCCCTGATCTGATTTGTTTGTTCAGAATCAGTGATTCTGCTCTAGTCGCAGCTCATGGGAAAGGCCAAGAATTTCTCCAGATGCTCAGTACAGCAAACTTAATCGGCACTACTGCACCAAATCCAAGGACTGGCATTTTCTTGTTACCATATTCGGACATCGGCCTAATGCAAGAAATACAGAAGAAACTTTTCACTTTTTACCCTAATTACCAAAGGCTTTAGTGAAGTTTACAACAGGGGTCTACAAAGCTCCTGAGAGAAAGAGGAACAATCTTTAGAACATAAGAAAGGTAACAGACAAGGGGAGGCTGTTCATCCCATTTGCATGTTAGTATCTGACTGATCCACGTATCTCACCCAGCTATTTCCATAAACCAAGGGAAAACCACATGGCTGGGTAGCTTGTTCCACATTCCCGTAATCTTAAATCAAAGATCTGCTCTTTGGGGGTTCTGAAATGAAGCAGGTTTTCTACATCTCTTTGAGTGACAGAACAGCTCTTCACCCGAGAGAAGTCGTAAATGTATAAAATGAAGGTTCACCTGGACCTGTGTGTCCCTCCTCCATAGCCTTAAGTGGAGATGATTTAAAGGCAGACAGAAGCCCAGGGTTCCAGCACTACGGATTTGGGAAGCCCGGTCTTAGGCACACAGGAAAATCCTAAACGGATCAGACTGCCCGGCAAGAGCATGCAATACCAAAGGCCATGTCACCACAGCGACAATTTCATAAGCATGAAGTTCACAGGAAAAATACCAAGGCAGATAGCCCAGTTTTCTGAAATCTACAGTATATACTGGATCCCACTGGGGTCAGCGCCAAGCAGGTCATGCTAAATGAGCTAGAATTACCACTGCTGCTATTTATTATTATTGCTCTCAGAACAGACGGCTTTGTGACACCGGGATCACCAGTCCTGATCCTGGCCAGCCGGGCCTGGAGAGACCTGGTTCCGATCACGACTGGATTGATTGGACTGGATTCACCGCTGCTCCCAGCTTGAAAAGGACCCGGAAAACTTTGAAGGTTGCCCCTGGATTGGGGGACCCCCTGATCTAAAGTGGAGGTACAAAGTGGAGGTAACCCCTCTGGGTTGCAGAGAAAATAGGGGGAAAAAAAAGCATGATCATTTCCCAGCCTAGAGCACACTTTAGAAATTAAGAAAATTCTTTGTTTTGCAATGCACAAAGTGGATAAGATTGTGCATTGGGAAATCACAAAGTATATATGCCTTCTTGTTTAACAATCGGGAGCAATCCTTCAGTCAGGCAGGCACCCTGGCATATCTCACCTGAGCACTTCAATTCTGAAGTAGAGATGTGGAGAACGGGTTAATGACTGACTAAACCTGGGGCCTGCTCAGGACTTCCATATGGCCCACATCAGTGCCAGAAATACCACACTCTGGGATTTCACAAACATTCTTTCCCAAAGTCACAAATCGGATCCCAGAATTCCCACACCTGCCAGAACCAGAACAGCTTCTGGTCCTGCTGGCGGAGGAAACTCAGCAGGGCTGCAGCCCAGTGTGTGGTCACTGTCCCAGCCCGAGGAACAGCGAGCCCGTCTCACACTAGTCTTGTATGCGATGTCTGCAAAAGACCGATACTAGGTTGTTACTGTACATGTTGTGTTAACTGCGCTGTAATTCCCCAGCCACGCCGATAAAGACCCTTCAAACTGAATGGAACAACGAGGAGAGCAGGCTTTGCCCAGAACGACAGCTGCGAGTGACTATTCACAACGTGGCTCGTCACACTATGGGCCGCTTGATTAAAAGGCCTGACCGCCACGAGTCTTCGGCAGCTCCTGTCTGTCCCAGCTCCGCTGTGCCCCTGTACCGGGGTGGAGTCCCATGGCCAGGGACCCCCTTCAGCTGAAGACACCTCTCCGGGTTCACCTGACAGCCCCGTGATTACTGGCCACAGTCTGGAAACAGACACTGCACAACCTTCAGGGGTTTCTAATGGTCACCAACCCGTCGGTCTGCCTACTGCCATTTCCCTTTGGAGTGAAGCTGGCTAGCTATAGGGGACAGTGGGGGCAGTAAGAGAGGAGGAGAGGGGCAGAGAGCGCAGGAATTATATTTAAGGCGGTGAAATATAAATTCAGGTGCATACTGTATGAATCTACTGACCGGAGACCTCCTGTAAAGACGAGACTTCACAGTTTTTAAAAGTAAACCGCAGGACGCGTTTAGTGCTTGTGTTTAGCCGTGACTCTGCAACTTCAGTCCCTGCATATTTTTTTTTAAAAAAAAGAGTGATCGCTGGGGTGGAAAGGCAGCTCTGAATCACCTTCCAACGAACGAGCAGGAATCGGCGTCCCCGTACCAGTGTTGATCTGTAAATGTGAGGTTATTACGGATTGTGGAAGGATACTGCAGCTCACACAGTGACAGGCTCACACACCAGGTGCTGAAGCCCCATTTAATTTCCGTCCTGAAGTCTAAAACAAGCAGGTGTCTGCTATCGTGAATTTATAGTGACGACGGAAAAACAAAGTGGTTTGATGTTTGCGACAGGGGCAACAACTTCATCACCCACATGACAGACTGTCGGTTTTTAGTTCCTTAAACAAACAGATCTCGGCGCCCTTTTTTTTTTCTTCAAGGGGTATAAACTGAACTATTAACTGCTTGCAAAAGTTTGAACCAAACTACCGAGGTCTGAAACCTCTCGGGAGATTTCTCGAAAAAGCACGGTGCCCGCAGGAGCAGTTTAATCCGCGCCGGTTTGAGCAGACTTTTAACGTCGCTTCTCGGGCTCCTATCAGTTTGAGAACTGCAAGGAGCCCGGTGTGGTCTGTCCCCCCGTCCCTCTTGAAAAGCTTGATAAGAAAGAGACTGGACGGTACTCACAGGTATCTCTGCTCTCCGGCTGTCTGTCTGTGCAGCGCCACGGAGAAGCCGAAGAAGCTGCCGTTGGTCTTGCCCTCTTTGATGACCGGGAAGCGCAGATCTAAATTGTATCCCCCACAGGTCCGAGCCGCGCAGAAGAAGGCGAGCACCAAAACGCCGAGGTCCCTGGGGAACAAGTGTAATTGACTAGAAGCCATGTTTTCACTCCCTAGCTCCTGCGGCCGCCCCGGGTCCCACTTGCCAGCGAGAGCAACGAAAAAGATTTTTTTTTTCCCCCTCAGCTCTTGAGGAAGGAGGAGAGGGGGGGGTAGAAAAACTCGGAGGGCGCTTCAGACCTGTTCCCTGCTTTCCAAGCACCGCAGCAACGCGACACCTTCCTCTAGGGTTTTGCGTGAACTCGCTCGCTGGTTAGATCGCCCTCTCCTCTCCTCCCCTCTCTCTCTCTCTCTCCGTCTCTCCACACCCCTTTGCACAACATGCGCTGAATAAAACCGACTTTCCAACATAGATAATAGCCTTTTCTTCCGGGAGCAGAGGCACCGAGATGATTCGGAGTTCTGAGGCGAAATGGAGCCGCCGCCGCCGCCACCTTGCACGAAAGGGCCTGGAGTCTGAGCACTTGACGTGATTAGTTTTGCCAACGCTACAGCTCAAAGCGTACTCACTCTCTCACACACACACACACGAGGGGCAGAGGCAATTTCTGTCGCCTGCTTTCTCCGGCGGTTTAAATTAATAACGCAGGCTGACAAAAATACACAGCAGCGAACTTCGGAGAGGTAGAATAAATCAATTCACGGGCTCAGAGATCTGCTCTGGGGGAACTTACTTATAGTGTATGTGTTGTTTTTTTTCTCGAAAATCAATACATGTCCCCGTCAAACCTAAGGGACAGCCCATTTACAGGAACCCTCATGTTGCAGTTCAGTGACCTGATAAAGGGATACCTGGGACCGGGAAACCACTGTCCCGAGCATTGCACTCTCTTTATACAGTGTTATATTAGGCGTCAGTGCTGAATTCAGATTGTTTCAGTCCCCCAGTCCTGGAGATGAACATGCTGATGGCAGGACTGGAACCCGAGACAGCACGAATGAATATAACCGTCTGAGCGCTGAGAGATGGCTTTCGGAACGATGCTCATGGGTTCCGCTGTCTCAGAGGCTGTCTGTACCAGACCTGCTCTTAAACCTGTTGCCTCAGAGGCCGCTAGGTCTTTCTGCGACCTGTCTGGGAGCACAGACAACAATTCACAAAACGCAGTGCACAGAGACGCCCCCGTTTTAACCCCCGTGTGTGTCAGACACCCAGAGCAAACATAAACCAGGAGCTCGTCCTAGTCTCAGGAGTGTCAAGTGAAGTCAGACACACAATTCCCACCTGGAAGAAACTCGGCTCCATCCCGGAGTTACGCCATTCTTGTTGTCCGTGCGTACTGGAGCAGAGAAGGGTCAGTCATTCAGAAACACCTAAGCAGCCTCTTAATTTGGGACACAATAATAATAATAAACTTTATTTTATATAGCACCTTTAAAGGTGGCTTCTCAAAGCACTTTACAGGATGACAATAATAAATAAGAAGATTTCACAAGATAAGACAATTACAATTACAATAATAACAACAATAGAGGAGACTGTGGAAGGTGGTACTAAGAAGAGCAGAGGGGTGAAGAATGGAACCAGTAAAGGCTTTTCTAAAGAAGAAGGTTTTGAGTCTGGATTTGAAAGAGTTTAGAGAAGGTGACTCTCAGATATCCTTTGGCCAAGAGTTCCAGAGCTTGGGGGCAAAACAGGAGCAGGCCCTGTCACCCATACAATGTAGACGGGCTTGTGGGACAGTAAGGAGGGAAGAATTTGAAGAGCGGAGGTTGCGAGGTGGGGAGTAGGGCGATAAAAGTTCAGACAGGTATCGAGGTGCCAAGCCATGTAAAGCCTTAAAGGTGAGCATGAGGATTTTAAAGTCTACGCGGAATTTGACAAACCCATCACTTTCAGAACGTTACAGTGCCACTACTCTGCACTGAGTCTACGAACTGTACTCACTCCAAAATACCTCCCTTCACCCAAGAACGATTCTGGCAGCCTCTCTTTTGCCACTGGGGGTATTTGTAGTATTAGACTCGACAAGCGTTCAAAGCTTGTGCTCAAAGCAACCACATGTGGCAGTAAAACGCATTTTCAGACCAACACTGCAATCTGCTTTTCTGTCTGAACAAACAGACACTACTAGTCGTCTGCCTCCGGTGGCTCAGTTATGTAGTGGCTGGGGTCTGTAGATTCCGTTTTGCGCGTTTCTCTTTGTTTAAAAGTATGTAAGAACACACAAACTATCCCAGGGAGGGAGAAAGGGCTTCCTTCTTTGTTGTGTTCAAAACATTACAAAAGCCAAAGGGAATCACAAATGTAACCGCAAACTAAGAGGTTATAATTCCTAACCAACAGTATACAGTAAAATGCAAAAATGAAAAGCACATTGCACTTCAGATTCTGCTGTTCCAGTGCAACAAGAAACAAGGTTTCTCCCCTCCACAGAAACCACAGGTACTGCAGATTTTTACAATAAAATATTTCATGTATAATTGCAAATAACTATCATTGTCATCAACAACAGTAATAATAATAAATTAACCAAGCTAACAACCATGTTAAAATGAATCTGAAGGTAATGAAGGCATTCAGAGTTCTCACTTGCTATGATGTTATGTTGCAAAATTAAATCTGCAAATTCTGCAAGATCGGTCTCTGTGCTCCAGGCAGTCAGGGTCACAAGAGTAGCGGTGTGGGTCTGTATCGCCTGTGTCCGATTTAGCTACATAGACTGAAGGCCAAGGCTGACCCCAGTGAAAGTGTCTTCACTGTCGGATTTTGTACTGTATGGCAACAAACTGTTACTGACAAATCACAGAAATGTCTGTTTTTGCATGGAAGTTTTGCTCATCCCCAAAAATAGAAGCCTGTTGCTGTCCTAGACAAAGCAAGTGAGAGGCAGGTTTCATCTGTCCTCCTTTCTTTAAAGACATCTCCAGCTTTATTTACCAGAATCATGTGGTTTTCTGAGAGGGGTCTAACAGTGGCCAATAGTGGGGGCAAACAGTGGGGTTACAGGCCGTGTGTCTCATGTAGATTAATGGGCAGCTGCTGGCTGTGGATTATCATCGATTTACATGTATCCGGCTCATCAAAACACCCACTACATGTTTAAGAAACAGCTGCTGTGCCCTATAAATAATTTCCCTCAGCCACCATGCTGTTATAAAGTCCTGGTTGTGCTGAATTAAGTGTCTACAAGGGCTGGCATTCCCTCTCTTTACTCCAAACTCCACATCACTTCTCCAGGAAACTGCTCTTTAGGATGCTTCCCAGGGGTATAGAGAATAGTCTGTTTGCCAATATCCTGGCAGGGCACAGCTGTGCAGAATAACAATGTTTGTTTTAAAATCCCTGCAGAGGAAAGGATGAGCTCGGAGGCGATGCATCAGGGAGGTGGAGGACTGGGTCACACAGGGTTAAACGTATCTCTGATAAATACTTCATCTTCACCTTCATCCTTCTCGCTGGGTATTTTTGTGTTATTATTTTATATCATTTTATTCTCGTCTTTAACTAAGTGTCTGATGCAGTGACCTCCGATGGGAAAGGTATCAGTGTTCTCCTATATTGAAATTTGAGCCCTAATAAAATTCTAACCTTCACGTTGCGAGTTGCGAGCGATTTCCCCGTCACCAAGTGTACACGCTTCAGAAACTCCAGCGGAAAACCAAAGCCTCAGGATGGAAACGCAGTAAGTTTGTGCTCACACCAGATCAGCTGACCATGCTAGTGAATCACTGAAGTTTTCCGCTTCGCGTGAAGAATTGTGTCTCGGGACCAGGTGGTGTGAAAATAGTTCAAGAGCCACATTTCTGCTTGCTGGGAAGGGTCTCGGATGAGAGATGGCTGACAAGAATCTGCTCAGCTCCCTTGTCCTCGAGTTAAGATATGGGCCTTGAAAGTGGGCACAGGGTGAACAAACGGTCTGCTGATGGCACTGGATTAAGGCCACAGCAGCAGAACACATTCCTCTGGCACCAGGCCCTGTCCACACAGCAGTGGCAGGGAGGACTGAACACCTCATGTAGGCTACCCTGCTTTCTGCCTGTGGCGTACCAGGTAGCCTTCGAGAGCAAGAGGCAACAGTTCACTGCCCAAGGGGGCTGGGTAGTTGCCAGCGCTCACAGCAGATTAAAACCTCCCCTCTTACAGAGAGTATCTGGAGACCGGCTATTGATCAAAGGAGTTGTGAGAAAAAAATACAGCTGCAGTGAAAACCAAGTAACTCCCATCCAATGGACAGTATCAGGTTCCAGCAATGCAGGCACGCAGTCAGGAAGCACAGACTGGATATGCCATCACAGGGAAGAGGGCGCTGCTACACAGGCCACTGGCCTACGTCCACCCTCAAGGCCTGGTAGTCCTTCAGGGCTGGCAAAGAGTTAAGGGCCTAGATAGATCAAAGGGGCAGTGGGTGATGGGAAGAGGCTAGAATTCATACAGTGTGCAAGAGTGAACACAGCTCTGGTCAGACTGGGTCTCTCTGAGGCAGTGAAACCTCTGATTAATGGAAGGTCAGAGAGGCAACAGTCATCTCGGTAGCAGCTACTTGTAAAAAGCCCTTCTCACATTAAAGGGAAACAGCGACGCTATTTTTATATTTCGGGGTGAGACAGAATCAGCTCTGGTGAGCGCGTTTGAAACCACAATAAAAACAACGTACACTGTAGCTTGTGAAATCTCCAATTCACATCACAAAATAGAGGAAATTTCCAAAAACTTTTGCACGGCGCCCCAAAAGTTCCTGTGACATGTTGCGGCCTTGTTACAACAAAAAAGCAGGCTTGTCAATACATCTCTTTCAATCCAATAGAAATATTGCTCTCGACTTCGAGATGGGTTTGCCAACAAATACCACTTCATTTTGCATGCAGGTCACATTGGAACACTTCTGCTGCACCACCTGTACTTATTGGCTTGTACCTCCCACTACATCAGTCATTACAGTGACTCGTGAGCAGGAAGGGAGGCATCATGTCGCAATTCATGGAAACTTGAACGTGAGTTTGTGTCAGCATGGCGACTGACGGTACTTTAACAAAGTTCATGATTTTGTGCTTAATTCAAAATGTGCTAACTTTTTTATAGAACATCAGATTAATTTACTTTGTTACCAAGATTTAATAACCAGTCTGGGAAATTGGGCCTGCAGCTCCCCTTTAATGGGGTGTTGCACAGACCCATAAGAATACCGTATAAAAGTGTCATTTGGTGTTAAATATGGAGGATCGATCTTATTATAATAACTTGTTACAGAAGCAAGTGATAGTTAAGATGTTTTATTTTAATGGATTAACTCTAAGATACGGGGGGGCTGATATTTACCTGCGAATGTTTCAAACCTTACTCGCAGGTTCATTTTTCTATGACTCTTCGTGAGGCATTAGCAATAACATCCTATGTGAAACCAAACCTCCCTGGTTCTATACAGATCTGTACACCTGCAACCACTCTGTAGCCTATATCTATCAGATTTCTATACCTATATATAGAAATCTGAACCCCACTACTATTCAGCAGTAGTTAACCAGAGAGGCTGTTTTTTATCATTCAGAGGGCAGCAAGGGAGAATTTGTTCTGAGCTTTGCAACTGTGTGTGACAGCATCTTCACAAAGGCAATGGGAGTCTCCTCAGCAATGCAGCACTGCAGAACTTAATCCAGCTGGAAATGTGGGACCTCCAGAACCTCCGGGGTTCAATGCAGTTTGTCCAGTCAGACCTAGGGATCTAGGGATAGTTATCATACAAAAAGACAACCGTTCTGTCTGGCAAAGCCTTCCGCTGAACAGTTTCTGCTGTAAACAGGGGCTGTGTTCCTTTTGAAGCTGCTGATCTGATGCTAAATAAATAAGTACTGAAAGATCTTACAGTCGCAGGCTTTGGAAAGGCCCGACGGAATGAAGAACAGAGGAAAGAAACAGGAAGCGACAGCTGTGATTCTACAGTTACCAGGTCTGTTTGCTTCAGAAAACCCAGCTGTACCGAGCAACATGATGAACTGTTGTAAAGTTACAGAGCAGCACAGGAGGATGCAGACAAGCAGGGTGCCATCAATAGGAAAGCTTAAAACTGCAAGAACAGAGGAAAGGATACAATCGAGAGGCCATTGAGCGCATTACAGTACACTGTGTTTTCTGTGTTCTTATTACACAGATAAGCCATTTGATGACTGAAGGCTGGGAAATCTGTAGAATGCGCTTCTACTGTTTTGTGAGCGCCCTTATTTTAGATACATTTTAAAGCATTGAAAAAGGCTGCTTTTATTGTTCATCTGATGTAAATATTTTGCAGTTCTACAATGCTACAGTGTGCGTGTTACTGATGGAAAAAGCAAACTTTTAAGA